TTCATCCCCCCATAGTTATTCATCCCCCATAGTAATTCATCCCCCATATAGTAATTCATCCCCCATATAGTAATTCATCCCCCATAGTAATTCATCCCCCATATAGTAATTCATCCCTCATATAGTAAATTCATCCCCCATAGTAATTCATCCCCCCTATAGTAATTCATCCCCCATATAGTAATTCATCCCCCCTATAGTAATTCATCCCCCCTATAGTAATTCATCCCCCGTAGTAATTCATCCCCCCTATAGTAATTCATCCCCCCTATAGTAATTCATCCCCCATAGTAATTCATTCCCCATATTGTGTGAATTCACTTACCTTTGCTCCGCGCGCGTTCCTCTCGCTGGGTTCCCGCGCCGTTCTGGTCTTCAGGTTGGACTGTGAGAGGAGAGGAGTTCGTCACGCTGCCCCCCCTACATCCGGGCTGCCCCGCCTACATCCTGACAGCCAATGTTTGCCAGCGGGCGCCCGGCACACAGAAGATCTACATTAAAAGAGCCGCGGCTTGCCGACCCTATTGCCTGTCACCTGGTGGGCAGTGGGCTCCGGAGCCGCAGGAAAGGTGAAAAAGAGCCACATGCGGCTCCGGAGCCGCGGGTTGCCGACACCCGTCCTAGGGCATTAGTAAAAAACTAAGGCATGTCAGTCAGATTACTAATTTTCTGTGTCTCAAAGGATGATAAAGTAATAAATACAGCATTTGCTTCTTTATGCATAATATGCAGTATAATAATTAGCGTTGTGAGCACCAGCATTTAACCTAACAGGGTGCAGTTAGAACGTTTGTATTTGTGTTCAGAGCATGACCATAGTGTGTAGATCACAGAATTCAGTGTGTATTTATGTACTGTATATGTCTACTTAAAGAGTTTATGTAGACAAATACAGTAGTACATTCACCATGTTGTCACTGCAATTAAATCCCTGTTGATTGTTTATTGCTGTCTAATTGGCCCTTCAAACATGCTATAGCCTAAGTAAAGTCTCAATACTCCTTTAGAGAATACAGTATGCATAGAGTAATATACAGTGCTCAAAAAAATTAAAGGAACACTTTGAAAACACGTCAGATCTCAATGGGGAAAAATACCATGCTGGATATCTATACTGATATGGACTCCATAATGTGTTAGGAACGTAAGGATGCCCCATCGTTTGATGGAAATGAAAATGATCAACCTACAGAGGACTGAATTCAAAGACAGCCTGAAAATCAAAGTGACAAAATGATGCAGCATGCTAGTCCAGTTTGTTTAAATTTCATTGCAGCAACTTAAAATGTTACTCAGTAGTTTGTATGGCCCCCACGTGCTTGTATGCATGCTTAACAACATTGGGACATGCCCCTAATGAAAAGACTGATGGTGTCCTGGGGTATTTCCTCCCAGATCTGGACCAGGGCATCACTGAGCTCCTGGACATTCAAACCAGTGGCCTGCTGGAGGCCATTTTGTAGGGCTCTGGCAGTGCTCATCCTGTTCCTCCTTGCACAAAGGAGCAGATACTGCTGATTGGTAAAGGACCTTCTACGGCCTTTTCCAGCTCTCTTAGAGTAACCACCTGTCTCCTGGAATCTACTCCATGTTCTTGAGACTGTGCTGGCAGACACAGCAAACCATCTGGCGATGGCACATATTGATGTGCCATCCTGGAGGAGTTGGACTGCCTATGCAACCTCTGTGGGTCCAGGTATCGCCTCATGCTACCAGTAGTGACAATGACCCTAGCCAAATGAAAAACTAGTGAAAAATAGTCAGAAAAGATGAGTGGTGAAAAAATGTCAGTGGTCTGCACCTGTAAAACCATTCCTGTTTTGGGGGTCGTTTCATTGTTGCCCATCTAGTGCATCTGTTGTTAATTTCATTAGCATCAAAGCAGCTGAAACTGATTAACAACCCCCTCTGCTACTTAACATTCCAGATCAATATCCCAGGAGTTTAATTGACTTGATGCTATACTCTGATTAAAAAGTGTTCTTTTAATTTTTTTGAGCAGTGTAGTATTTTGTGTTCTGTGCCTTCAGCAACTTTAGATCTACCTGGGGAACTTGAGTTTTTCATCCAGTCATCGCTGTATTGCACCAGTTCTCCCCTCTTTTCTCTGTAATCTGGTGATCTTCAAATGCACCAGCTGTTGATGTAATACCTTGCAACACTCAGGAAATCTGTTGTGAAAAAAATTTCTATAGATTTCTTAGAGCCACCAATGCAATTGACACCTGTTTAGATAGGTGATGAATGCTGAGAGAGGGAAGGTAAACACAGCCTTCAGCAAGTACACTCCTACTGCCCATGTATGTATGTGTGATTATTCAGGAGGGAATTACACAGAACTCAGATTAAGGTAAATTGACTGAACTTGTTGACTACAGATTAGTTTCTGTTTATGGTTTATTTCGCTAAGGGGAAATGCTTTGAGTGCCAAAGCTTCTGTGAATAGAGTCTTTGGTTATGGACATCTGGTCCTGCTGCACTGGTATAAAAGTAATCTGTCATTCATACAAAAGCAGATAACAGCAGGTGCAAATCTCAACTTCATCTCTGACATTAGTGACTAGCCCTGCCCTGCCTGTTCCCCTGCTGTTCTATCAATGTAATGGTATAGGAAGTCAGGAGGATGTGGAGCCAAGCAGCATGTCACAAGTTAGCCTGCAGTTTATTGTTGGTGTATTCTTACCTCCTTGTTGCAGTGCTGTTCCTGATCCATTTCACATGTGTGTTTGTCTGTGCTCACCTATGGGCGTTGTCTGCTGTTCTCTGGGTTTTATTTCCTTCCCTTCCATCACTTCCTGGCCCGCCTCCTTGTTTGCATGCCTATATAAGACATGCTCAGTCTAGGCCACTTTGCCTGAGCAACTTCCTAGTTGTCTGAGCTCCTGTGTGTTGCTATTGCCTGTATCCTGCATTGACTACTTGTGTACCGACCCCAGCTTCGTTTTCTGACTGTGCTTGTTTTCTGCCTGTCCTGACCTCGGCTAGTCTATCGTATTTCCATTTGTCTCTTCCCATTGCACTCTGCTCCTGCGAGCGGTCTCCTCATCCTCAGCTGGGCGTACCTAGGGGCCGTGACCTGGTCCCAGCTTGCTGCAAGTCCATCCCCACCATCAGGGGCTCTGGTGAAGAAGCAGGCTGGGGCTTAGACTCCACACCCTGGGGAACCCCAAGTTGAGTATCTACAAGGGCTCACTACCATAGGTTCGTGACACAGTAACTTCCTGGATGAATTGGAAACTGACATATGTAGGGCTTCTAAGTACTTTATGATATTTGAAATGTCATCTATTAACTGCCCCCCTATCCATTTTGACAGGAATGCAGTGTATGCGTGCCCCAGATTTGTTCCTACAGAACTTCAGTAGGTTATCAGACACAGTCAGCTGGATTACCATATGGCTAGCCATGGCTGTAAGGCATGACACCTTTATGTGTCCCAGGAATTCTGGAAATTCACAAATGGTTCAAACAGATATGCTGTTTCTTGCAGTAAGCAAAGAGGAAAAATCTTTCCAAGGTTCTAAACCTTTTCTATTGTTTCTAACTGAGCTAGTTAGATTTCCGAGATAACCTATCAAGGGAAAAACTGAAATAGTTTTTGGGTCAGTTTTTTTTTTTTTTTTACTTTTTCAAGCGTATACGTTTTTAAACTGTTTTCTATCTCTTTTTTAGTTAAATAGATATAGGATTCACAGAGCAGTGTGGGTTAGCTAAAGAGACAGTACAGCAAAAGTAGCTCCCTTTTAGGCACAATCTAGTTCACTAAATGTTCATGCTTAGATTTCCCATAAGATACGTATCACAAGGCAACGGGACAAGAAAAAGGAGCCAAGTGCTCCACTAACTGGCTGAATAAAATTCTATTAAATTTCTCACATGCAACCTGGGGGGACCTGCTTATATGCAAATTAACTCCTATTATAATCAAGATAAACATAATATGTTGTTTGTGCCTACCCTGGTGTAGATGTACATGGCCACTTAAGTATCAACTAACCTAGAACAGCTCCACCACCCTCTGCTTTTAGGATTCAGTGGACCAAAAAAACAGCTCTCCTTCAATGTTCTGCTGTATTTAACTGCTTTGCTAAGCACAGTATGAAATATTTAAAAAGAGATATATCCTACTCAGATTGTGTGCACTGCTGCATACATAACAGCCAAGCACACGTCTACAGTGCATATTAACTCTAAAGGTGAACAGCGTGGAGGGATATTTTAGGTCAGTGCATTAATGCCTGAGTGGTCGTGAATGTCTAACCTTAAAATCATTTTTTGTAAGTGATGACTATGCGTCTGTCCTCCCTCACCATTACTTCATTATAAATTGAACCTGCAGCAAAAGGAGGTAGCAGGTTTGGGGTTTTTTTACTTCTCTTTACTCTTTTAATAATGAGAAGGTCTGAAACAGAAGTGGCTGCTATTCTTTCAATTTGTATTTTAAGTTGCAGCGATCTATACATTTACAATCTTTTGTTCAGTCACAATTTATTGTAATTATACAGTAAAAAGGTATGATTTTCAGTAACCCACAACAACAGATAAAACAGCTCTAGTTATGATCAGATTTGAGAAATCCAGTTTGGTGGAAGGGATGAGCTGAAAATATTTGTCATATTTATAAAAACAGTAGTTGTGAATCTGATTAAAAATCAGATCAAATAAAAGAAAAACTAAAAACTCAGGAAATTACATAAAATTAGTTGATTTGCAGCAAGTAGGCCAGTAGCATTCCTCTGCTTCCTGCTATATAAATAAAACTAATTAAGCAGCTTTTTGTATGATGTAACCCTTCCAGATAGAACCTGCTACAACAACCTAGTGACCTCCCAGTTTTGGTAGGAAATATGTGCAATTTGGTTTATTCAAATATTTGTTTTTATGTCAATTACAAGTTAGTTTTCAAATACATTTATTCATTTTATCTTTTGGAAAGAAGTACATATCTGAAATGATATATAATTTCATATCTTCTTTGATATATTGTTTTTTTCCTGCAGATGACCATTATGATGAAGAAGAGAAGCAATGCTACTACAACCTCAATAATGTCAATTTCTGTGAGAATGTTCTTACTGTAAATGTCACTAAGCAAGAATGCTGCTGTACTCTTGGAGCTGCTTGGGGAGACACCTGTGAGATGTTCCCTTGTCCAGTCCTAGGTTCTGGTATGTATATAAATTACACATACAGTGGGGATTGAAAGTTTGGGCACCCCAGCTAAAAATTTGTATTAATGTGCATAAAGAAGCCAAGGAAAAGATGGAAAAATCTCCAAAAGACATCAAATTACAGATTAGACATTCTTATAATATGTCAACAAAAATTAGATTTTATTTCCATCATTTACACTTTCAAAATAACAGAAAACCAAAAAATGGCGTCTGCAAAAGTTTGGGCACCCTGCAGAGTTAATATCTTGTACTGCCCCCTTTGGCAAGTATCACAGCTTGTAAATGTTTTTTGTAGCCAGCCAAGAGTCTTTCAATTCTTGTTTGAGGTATCTTTGCCCATTCTTCCTTACAAAAGTCTTCCAGTTCTTTGAGATTTCTGGGCTGTCTGTCACGCACTGCTCTTTTAAGGTCTATGCATAGATTTTCAATTATGTTGAGGTCAGGAGATTGTGAAGGCCATGGCAAAACCTTCAGTTTATGCCTCTTGATTTAATCCCCCGTGGATTTCGAGGTGTGTTTAGGATCATTATCCATTTGTAGAAGCCATCCTCTCTTTAACTTCAGCTTTTTCACAGATGGCATCAAGTTACCATCCAAAATTTGCTGAAATTTTATTGAATCCTTTTTTCCTTCTACTCGTGAGATGTTCCCTGTGCAACACAACCCCAAAGCATGATTGATCCAACCCCATGCTTAACAGTTGGACAGAGGTTCTTTTCATTAAATTCTGTGCCCCTTCTTCTCCAAACGTACCTTTGCTCATTCCGGCCAAAAAGTTCAATTTTAAGCTCATCGGTCCACAGAACTTGTTTCCAAAATGCAAAATTCAAACGATGATTTTTGTGGTGAGGACGTAGAAGAGGTTTTCTTCTGATGACTCTTCCATGAAGACCATATTTGTACAAGTATCTCTTTATAGTGGAATAGTGTACCACAACTCCAGTGTCTGCCAGAACTTTCTGGAGGGATCGTGCAGTCAAACGTGAGTTTTGAATTGTTTTTCTCACAATCCTGCGAGCTGTTCTGTCTGATATTTTTCTTGGTCTTCCAGATCTTGCTTTAACTTCCACTGTTCCTGATGACTGCCATTTCTTAATTACATTCCGAACAGAGGATATTGACATCTGAAAACGCTTTGCTATCTTCTTATAGCCTTCTCCAGCTTTGTGAGCGTCAACTATTTTCAGTTTCAGTTTTCTAGACAACTGCTTAGAAGAACCCATGGTGCTGATTGTTGGGGCAAGGTCAGATGAGTCTGGGCATTTAAAACCTTTGAGATTGACATCACCTGGTCTTCCCAGACGATGATTGAGAACAATCCATGACACTGGCAGGTCTCAGCTTGGCAAAGGGGGCAGTGCATGCTATAAATTCTGCAGGGTGCCCAAACTTTCGATCCCCACTGTATAAAGTCACGAATCACCCCCATAACGTACTCTAAAATGGCTTGCATGTTCGCCCATTCATTCATTCAATAATATATGTACCTGTACTTGATAAGGGAAAACTGAGGATAAAGCATTTTATCAAGCATCAATAACATATACATAAGCATAGGCACAACCTTATTTATTTATTTATTTATTTATTTATATAGAACAACCTTCTTTTTTTTTTCTTTGATTTTTTTCAGATGAATATGCATTACTGTGCCCTGAAGGGAAAGGATATGTCCCATCAAAGGAGTCACTCACACTCTATGAGGGCAACGGCTTGACCTATGAAGGTTAGACTATTTGAGCCTGTTTTTCCAAAACTGGTACAGAAAAAACTTGTGCAATGCTGCAGTTCTATAGTAAATACTTAGGTCAAATCTATTAAATGCATGCATTCTATTGGTTGCTTAAAGTAGAAGCTCGATATTGGCTCCAGCTTTCTTTAATATAGTTTCTTGTTTAAGCATGGCAAATGTTGTTAAGATTTCAGTTATTGAAAGGAAAGCTCAATTGCAGCCTGGAATTGGGGTATGTGTATGCATTATTATTAAATTTACATATTTGTCTACCCACATGGAAGAAATATATATTTGAAATATATTTTAAAAATATTCTTCCCAATTATATTGACATATATTTTGAAATGCTACAATTTTGGCCATATTCAATATACTGCATGTTGAAATGTGTTTTTATTACAAAATATATGAAAAATATTTTTAAAAATACATTTTAAATATACTGCATGTCTTTAAAAATACAAATCTATTTTTTTGGAATGCGTTTACAAATATATGTAAAAATATATGTTAAAATTACTTTTTTATAAGTTAAAACAAATCTGAAGAATATATTAAAAAAATATATATCTTCTTTTAATTTTTTAACATATATTTTTACATTTATTTGTAAATTAATTCCAAAAATGTAGATTTGTATTTTTAGACATACAGTATGTTTGAAATGTATTTTTAAAAATATTTTTCATATATTTTTGTAATAAAAAGCACATTTCAACATGCAGTATATATATATATATATATATATATATATATATATATATATATATAATTTGAAATATATTGAATATGGCCAGAATTGTAGCATTTAAAATATATGTCAATATATTTGGGAAGAATATTTTTAAAATATATTTCAAATGTATTTTGCTTCCATATGGGTAACACTGACATGTTGAACAGTTCACCATTCATGTCATTCCCTTCCCATTTTAGATTGCACTGTAATATCCCACCTACTGTCAGTAAAAAGCACTCAAATACTTACAACATACACATTTCAGAAATGGGCAGTATATTAGTATTTTTTGGAATGTGTAATAAAACTGAAAGTGAAAGAACCAATATGTGTATGTCCCAGGATTGGTGCTGTTTATGATTAGAACTAGAACCACACTATACATTATAGCATTGACAAGGCACAGTGGTTTCCACATGGATCTGCAATTATTTGCATCCAACACTTCTCCTATTAATACATAGTATTTAATGAGTGATATCTATTTCTATAATTTATTTTAAATCCAGACTGGCACTTCTGTTGAAGATGGTTTATATTATTATTATTTTTTTTTAATTTTTGTCCATAGCTCTAGCATAAAGATATCAATCTTCACAATATATTTACCTTTTTTTTAATGTATCTGTGACTTTCAGATGCTGATGAGTGTATATTATTTGGAAAAGAAATATGCAAAAATGGCTTCTGCTTAAACACTGAGGCAAGCTATGAGTGCTATTGCAAACAAGGCACATATTATGATCCTGTGAAGCTTCAGTGTTTTGGTAAGTCAAATGTGTATCTAGTAGCTATCATTTTGTGTAAATCATGATGTTTTAGTCTTTTTCCACAATTATCCTCAATAGCTATCCCTCGAACAATGTGCTGGCTCTAGTTAGGATTTAGAGATTAATGCTACTGGGTAATTGGGACTGGGCAAAACATTTTTTTTTTTTTTGCTTTAAACAGTGGCCATGAAAGAGAAACAAAGTTAGAATGGTGTCTAAACTTTACCTAACACCAGAATGAGTAGTTTTCTTTGTGTAGTCTTTCTCAAGTCGTTCTGAGGATGCATGAATGGACTGTAGATCTTTACATTAAAGTCCTTCTAACTCAATCTTCATTAGACTGTGAGATGCTAGAATAGGAATCCTTGATGTAGTCTATACATTGACTTAGAGCTTAAACCAAATTATTTTTGCAGGAAAATATTAAGTATTCTGTTTTCAACCTTGATTTGTTTACCTGTTGGTAATCAGCTATATGGTAAATTCTACCACATTTATTGCTGTTGCAGTTAACAGGTCTTCATTTTACACATAGAAAATCCACAAGCAATGCTTCACCTATAACAGCAGTTTCCAGTTATGTATCAGTGAATATGGCTTGCTTTCTGGCTGTTCTTTGTGAGATTTTATGGAAAACATTAATTAATACCTTCACGCCTAAGGGTAAAACAAATCTTAAAGCCTAAAGCCTGTACATATCATCACAACTACTTTGTGCATCCAATTCCATTACACCTTTTTTTCAGGACAAATTGGGCTTTCATTTGGTGGTAAATGGTACTGGATATACCCTGATTTTGTTTTAATTATCAAAGGAAAACTGACCCAAAATAGTAAAAAAAAAAACCCTTTTTTTCATTTAATTGTATATTTCTTGCTACTACCATAACCAACCACCAAGGAACAACAAAAAAATTCTGCCAAAAAAAAAAAAAAACCTGACCCTGACCTTGACCCAAACACTAACCCTGGCACTGACCTAGATCAAACCTTGATCTAGGTATTTTTATTTATTTTATTTTTTTTATTACTAATTTTATTTATTAATTGTTGGCAAACACCCTTTTTTTTTTCTCTCTGAAAGGACAGAAAGATACAATGTATCTCTCCCCTCATTCAGAGAGAGACAAGAAGGGGGGGGGGGTGAGGGGGGGGTGAGCTTCACAGTGACTGATCACTGTGATAGCCAATCAGAGATTTTCACAGCAATCAGGTGACCTGGAATCGGGAGTTCCGGGTTCCAATCATTAGAACGGGACCCAGGGCTCTCACCAACATCCCGGTCTTTGTGCTGGGTGCACTCTGGTATGCAAATTAGCGGGCCCCATGGAAAAAAGCCCAGTCCAGTGGGCCATTGATTTACGTACACTCGGCACCAAGGGGTTAAAGTCTACCTACGGCAAGAGGGATTAGATTGCTTGTCAGTTTTTATTGCTGTCTGTGCCCCCATTTAGGAGATTCACCCTCTCTATTTGTCCTGTTTACCATTATCATTGAAAGTGAAATTAAAAGAAAATCCCACATTTTGGGTTGTACCCCGAAACGTAATATAGGGGAAATCTTTCAATGGGGATACTAGTTCTAGTGACCTGAGGGTTCCCAAGGAATTCCCTTAATTTGCAGGGATTTCCTCTCACTTCCTGTTTGACAGATGGCAAAATAAATCCTGCCAGGGGTTATAACCCTCTCTTACTCTATCCAAAATAAAAAAAAATGTTTTGCTTATAGTTCTACTTATTCACATTATTGATTTATTGATTATTCACATTATTTTTTTTTAAAGAACATGATGACCCATGGTAAAATATTCTTGGATTTCCATAAATCAGAGTGACTTGGAAATGTGAACAGTTTTATTAATGATGGTGAATTGCTCACACCAGTGAAATTCACTTGCAGGTCCTTTTTGGAATTCCTTCCTAGGGAAGTGTGATTATCCAGTTAATTTGTGTAACCTAACAGCACACTTTCTCCATAAAATGACCTTCTTCTGTCTTCAAATGTAGACCACTTGCTAATCCATCTGCAAGTCTCAAAGAGAGTTTTGCTAGGTAAGCAGAACATGCCTTAAACCTAGCAAAGTATCAGAGAGCAAGAAGTCGTTTAAAGCCACAACAAAGGAATCCCATGGCTTATTCTCCCCTTTATAACTATATCAAATTTCAAAGCCTGATCTAATTATTTACCAAGCATTCAAATACAGCTACTTTGCACAACTATTTATTGCTACTGATTTACTGCTGACTGTGCCCCACGGAAATGAGTTGCCGAGAAATACTTCCCATTTCAGATAACAGTAGCTCATAAGAATTACAAATAACATCTGTGCTGTTAATACATTTGTGATTCCTATCTACTGTAGATAACAATGAGTGTGATGACCCAAGCAGTTGCATTGATGGTCAATGTATCAACACGGATGGATCCTACAGCTGTTTCTGCACACGTCCGATGGTTCTGGATGCTACAGGAAAAAGGTGTATCAGACCACTGGATGTAATTGGTAAGTTACTAAGAGTTGTACAGAGTGACCTATAGCCATTGTTTACTAGAAAACTAGGGAACTATTCTGAAAGAACATTAGCAAATAGAGGTTCATGTTGAACAAACGGTGGCTGCCTACCTTGTGGACAAGGAAGCAAGTGGCTATTTTTCCCAGTTGTGTTTTTTTATTAATTGCCATTAGGCAAGATATATTACCAAATAAATCCAATGCTGCTCATTTAAAGATGAAAATGACACATTGAGACTGCATTCAGCAGACATGACCTTGCTGTCTATTTTTCATTCATATGTAACTCTTGTACTTTGGATTACTCCCCACGCCAACAACTGCCATGATTCCAATAACCTGGTGTTTTAGGAACATAAAGGTAATTTGTTTATATGAGAACCATTGAGGCTGCCATTGCTGAACTCTCAGAAAATGCTTGTTGCTGTCATATGAATCCTCTTACTGCACCATTTTAAGATGCAGAATAAAAAATAAAGAAATTAAGACTTTCGACATTTGGCTGGCTTTTTTCATCTTTATACTTGTTCTGAGTTAGTAACTCAGGAAGTGTTGAAACCATTGGTACAGTACAATAGCCAACATTTTCAGAAGAAAGTTAACAATGGGTGTGTGTATAAAGTATATATCAGTGTTCCCAATCAGACATTGCAGCCTCAATGACCTTCACGTAAGCAGAAGCTTTGTGTATTGGGGGGGTTCAGGAAGTATGTATCATAGAAAATAGCATGTAGCATGCAGTGGTCAGTAATATGTAATTTACAATACAGCGTAGAAAATGCAGAAAACATGATTATATAATGTACAACTTATAACTATGTAACATCAACATTTTGAGTGCAGTGATGATGTAACATACAGTACAACAAAGAACATAGCATGCAGGAGTTAGTAGTGTGTAACGTAAACCATAGCATCTGGGATGCAGGGGACAGGAATATGTAGCATACAAAATAATGTATAGTGAAGTTGTCTTTAGTGTATAATGTACAAAATAATGTTTCAATTGCAGGGATCGGAAATATGTAATGCATTACCCCTTATATTGGCAGTCCGTGGGGTACAAAAAAATCTTTCTTACATTGCTGATCCGTAGAAGGAAGAATGCTCACTTACATTGGTATTTAGTGACTAAAACAAAACTAAATACCACAATGTGCCGCGCTTCACTTAAAAGTAAATGATATGTGTATCAAATTGCTAATGTTTCTAATGCAAATCCAAATAAATTAAATAAAATTAAATGAATCAACCAATATGTGCATCCAATTGTTACTAATTATAATGCATATCAAAATAAATGAAAAGGTGAATCAACCAATAACAATTTCCAACAGCAATGTCCATCTGATTGTAAAAAAACAGTTAAAAGAATGGTCCGTATATGGATTTCTTCAAACATGCATAATTCACGTTTAAAGTATAATAACCCGTGCTTCTTAAAACATATTTTGTGCGAAAAACTTGCATGAACGTGCTCCACCACCGGTTGTGCTCTCACCTCAAATATATGACCAAACCGTTAAGTAAGGTCATATAACGCTTGTGTCCCTTTAAATGGACCAGAATGTGGATGGGATGGTATCCTGCTGTTTGGAGTCCTTCTCCACTCAAACGATATGCTCCCCTTTCACTGTGGTTAATATAGAGGAATGAATCAAATCATAGTGTATTATCCTTTATAAACCGTTTTATCAATAGAAGTTATGCATTCACATATACACTGTATATAAACCGCTTTGCGCACAAAATGTGTCCTCCAGATTTTTTTCCTAGGTAAAAATCCTGAAATTGCCAGCTGGTGTCAGTGTGGAACTAGCATCGTGATGTCAAAGCCCCTCCGCTGGGCTCGATGGTTCCACACTGACACCAGCAGGCAATTTCAGGATTTTCACATAGGAAAAAAATGTGGTATTTAGTTTTGTTTTTGGCACACGTGTTAGGTGCAGGCGATTCACAATTAGCACTTGGTAGGATTTATCATTCACATAGCAGCTCACACTTTTTTAGCAAAAAATGCCTACTTTTATTGGGGGTCATTGGAGAAGTGCCACCTTCCATTGATGGTCAGTGGGTTAGTTACCTAAAGTAAAATGGATAGTGAGTAATTCTAAAAGCTGGAACTGTACAGGCAATGCTGGGTGGGCCTGGCATGACTAGGACTATCTGAGGACTCTACAATCCTCTAATAATCCAGGCTGACCCCACCTCTTTCATTAGAAGTCAGTTGAGAAGTGCACCGTTATATTTCCTTTAGTGCTTTAGCATAACTGGCGTGAACTGTTCTATGCCATGTCTCAAGCTGCTGAGCAACATTAGTGTTGAAAGTAGGCAGGTACACAAGTTAGGGGGTAAATCACTACACCCAGGACAACCTGCATGTCTGTAGGCATTGCAAACTAGGTTTATTGCCTCCAAAATCCTAACTAGGTCAAAATGGAGGCCTTCAAAGCTGTAATTAAAAACAAACAGTCTATTAGGAACCATTTGCATAGCCACAAGAGTCATTTTTAAGATTTGCCTGTGTTAAGGCGTTGGAATATTTTTAGACGAAAACATTTGAATAAAACATTTTGCGATGATTGTGGAGTGTTCCTATTATCTTCTATGGATGGGGATCCTCCACAATCCTAACTTGCAACCCCCAAGTGACAAAACTGGATTAAAAAAAGTTCAGCTTCTCAGCTCCAGTACTCTTAATTAGTTTTCTCCTTCTGCGAAAAATGTTTCCAGCTGTATTAAAAACGTCTCCCAAGCCTCAAACAGTCTAAAGCAAAACAGCCCCAAAGCATGATTCATAAGGTGTTTCAGGCCTTGTTTCTTCCTCCTCCAAACATAGCGTTGATGAAAAGAGAAGCAGCAGGATCAAATAGTGAATAAGTCTCTTCTGTAACAATGTCTACGTGAAAGGAGCTGCCTTCTTACACAGTCCTAGCTGAATAGTTTTTGTAGCATAATTGAGTCTTCATTATGCGAAACATTTGCCTCTGATAGCTGAATGATTTTAAGACCTACAAAACGATTTGCGAATGATGCTTCCTAAGGTGTCAATGTTTAACAATCGTTTGCAATCTTCTTAAAACACCTCTTCTCTTGATCTTCCTGGATTTTTGCGATGATTGGTGGATTATGCTTGTTTTATGTTTAATTATCTCTATGGAGTGTGTAGGTAATTTGTGGAATGAAGAAACCACATAAGAACCATTTACTACTGTATTACATAAACAATTGATATTTTTTTAGTTGCATTTGGGTAGTTACAACGTCCTTGTAGGATTTGATTCTGAATACAATTCCAAATGTACACTATAGTCCCCTAAACCCCTTTACAGCATTGGGGGTTGAATAATTTTGTCTGTATTTAGAAATGACTGGTTCAGATACATCTACTTCAAGCTGTTTTCTTTCTGAGACATTCCCTTTAAAAATCATTGATTCCTTGTAAAGGATAGCTCTGTGTTAGGAACATATCAGGCAGAGGTGGGCTGAATTTAAAGCAATAGCTTAATGCCATTTCACCCTAGCAAAGGGTTAATTCCCTATAAGCTATCCTGAGGCAGACCCTGCTTTCTTGTTCTTAGTTTTGTGGCTATAGCTGGGTCTGTGTTAGTTAGCTGCGGCATGAGGAGGCTGTTAACACAACACAAATACTTGGCTGTGTGGGGATACCATTATGACGGTAAAGTAATGAATTATTGCCCTGAAGGCAACCAACTGCTGCCTCCTCTGTGCATAATGTTTGTTTTTACTGAATATTCAGTTATCCTTTAAAATACACCTGTCATCACACAAATATGCAGACTGTCATTGCTAAGACTAAGACTTGTGGGTCGCAAACCCAAAACAATTTAGGTAAGTGAAAAAGAAAATGTTTGTCATGTTATTAGCATGACAGCTAGACTACTAGCATTTACAGAAATAGTAACATCTGTACTTCTTTCATGACAGGTTTTAAAGAAGATAAAGTAGGCTTGACATAAATTGTGTTGCCCTTTAGGCCACTCTGTGACTTTAGACCTTTAAGGTTCACAGATCAGTATAACGCATACATTGTATGCGTTATATGAAAAATTATATATATTCCTGTATAACTGTTACCTGTTCTAATGTAATGTTATTGCCCTAAAAACAGGAATAGTGAGATCTTAATACATCAAAGGATAACATGCTGTCCCACTAAATTATGTTCACCCTAGGCACTGGCCTACATATGTCAGCTTATTATTAAGGTATTGTCTATAAAGATGATCTACTTTTATGGTTGGTGTTTTACACTGATATGGGCCATTTTACCACAACATTCTTTTTATTCAGTGGTTCATTGCATGTTTAGGTAATGCCACACAATTTGATTTTTCACAGAACCTACAGAAGAAACAGATGTGTTCCAAGACGTATGCTGGCAGGACCTTAGTGAAGACTATGTGTGCAGCCGGCCCTTGGTTGGAAGGCAGACTACTTACACAGAATGCTGCTGTTTATATGGGGAAGCATGGGGCATGCAGTGCGCTCTTTGCCCAATGAAGGACTCAGGTGAGCTGTTAATATTAATGACTTGGATGTAGATGTAGGTGCTCTGACATAGACAGCTTTTTGAACATTTTCTCCCACTTTGCCAGAGCAAAGCCTATTAATCTCACAGAAGCTTGCAGATACCTGTACACACTTTTTTTGAAAAAAACAAAAAACACTTAAGTGCCTATTCACACCTATGCATTGCTGTAACATACCTGTCTGTGTGCAATGCATTGGGGTGCCACTATGCCATTCATGCACATGATTCTGTTGTGATTTCAAACACCATAGCAATACTTTTCTTACCTATAATAATCCATTTGTTTTTAAACTATGGAGAGAGGCAGGACAGGTGTGCCGATGGTGTTTGCCTTTACCTTCCCCTCTCTGTAGATTGAAGATAAACAGTTTATCAAAAGGAAAACAGGGTTATCAGTGTCCCTTTCAAGGCGTTTTTCTCAGCATGGTCTGTAGTTACTTCATAGTCATGGCGTTATGACCTGAGCTGTTTTCTGTCATCTATTGTCTATGAGTACCTTTACTGAAAAGTTGTTGCCCTTTGTGGCTATTTAAAAAGTTCCATTTGGAACAAGTATATAAAAACCTTTTTCTATAGAATCTGTAATTTGCAGTACAATGGTTTGATCTCAGAAAGTTGCAGTCTATTAAAGAGCACACCTATTCATGATTTACTGAGGTCTATGGTGAATAGCTCCTTTTTGAAGTGGTTTAAGTGTATGCATTGGCTTTCAAATAAGCTTTCACACCTTGAAGCCATAGGATCATACATATATATCCTGGACTTACTCCAGCACTCAATAGACATTGGTAATATTTACTGTTTCCATAATACCTAATCTTGGTTTCAGCTTGAGAGATTTATATGATAGGTTTCAGACAAGAGCGTAATGTCTGTGCAGTGAAGGATAATTTGTCTTTCTGAAACGTGGAGATAAAACCCGGAAAGTGTTTACTTAGACAAAAGTGTACAGTAGCAATGTTGAAATAGAAAACCTCAGGTTTCTCAAAATGGTCACACTCCCTCCTAACCAGTTCATTTCCCAAGAGTGTGCTGATGCAGCTCCCAGACATGAGGAAGGATGCGTGGCTGTCTGAACAAAGTTACAGCCATCTGGAAAACAGGCTATAAATTGACTTTTTTTTCAGGGTCTTGCCTCAAAATTAGTTCTGCTGTAAATTTACCTTTTCATTCCTAATGGAAGAATAGCCGTGGGGCTTTTGTTGCTTTTTCCATTCCAACTGAAAATATTATCAGTCTTTAGGAGTCTTGTTTTGCTACCAGAAGATCTATAGCAATGACGTTGACTGTAAAAAGTGGAGGAAAGGAAAAATATTGTTGTGAATCTGGTTTTAGAGTTCAGAGGATTGGTAGGCAAATGTGCCTAATATGACAATCTCAGTGTCTGCAGGCACAGCTCCTGCCTTTGTTGTACAAATTCTTCTGTGTACCCGTGGAAATCTACACAATCACTTTGTTCACCATGAATGGTTAGAAGCAACTCTATACACATTAGAGGGTTGCCTGACCTGGGCAAAAAGGGACAAGGTGTGGGTCTCTCATCGAATACCTACAAGAATTTTATTTTTAGCAGCTAACACAGTGATTACTCTTCTCTCTCCTTCCAAAATCATATTCCACCAATGTTTTGGTACTTATTCTTAAATAAGTTACCCTCCAAGGTGGTTGGCAGATGGAGCTACCTCTTCCTGTGATGTGTCCTTCTTGTCACTTTACCCTTTTAGCCAGTCTATTCCATATTAGCAGAAAGGGTTCAACTGACATGACACTCTTGTTGGAAACCAAGATTCTTGGGACTCTTTTACACACGCAAAAAGGTACGGTTGCTAAATTTACATGAGCATAAAGTCATCGTGGATTTTTTTTCTGTTGAAAATGCTAGACCCAACTTTGCTTTAAATTGAACTCAAATGTTGAATTAAGTAAAATTAATGTTAAGAATTTTGCTAAATAAAGAGTATAAAAGTGATGAGATAGAAAAAATATTCCCCCAGGGACATTCCAGTTTAATAACACGCCAACAGCCCTCCCCCAGTCTCTGCTGAAAAGACGGATGAACCTGTCTGAGCCCTCATCCTTGCCTTTAACAAAATTCAGATGAGAAAATGTCTAAGCTTTTGCTTATATTAGCAGAAAGGGTTCAACTGACATGACACTCTTGTTGGAAACCAAGATTCTTGGGACTCTTTTACACACGCAAAAAGGTACGGTTGCTAAATTTACATGAGCATAAAGTCATCGTGGATTTTTTTTCTGTTGAAAATGCTAGACCCAACTTTGCTTTAAATTGAACTCAAATGTGAGTTAAGTAAAATTAATGTTAAGAATTTTGCTAAATAAAGAGTATAAAAGTGATGAGATAGAAAATATTCCCCCAGGGACATTCCAGTTTAATAACACGCCAACAGCCCTCCCCCAGTCTCTGCTGAAAAGACGGATGAACCTGTCTGAGCCCTCATCCTTGCCTTTAACAAAATTCAGATGAGAAAATGTCTAAGCTTTTGCTTATATTAACAATACTGAAGAATATTTGGAGCATAATTTTCTCCAAGAAAGATTTAACTACTTAAGGACTTTGGAGCAATTTTCTTTCACTCACATTTTAACATCTCAAATTTTAGATTCAATTACTGAACACCCCCAAAAATATAATTTTAAGCAGAGGCTTTGTAAAATAAATAGATGGCAGTTGCAATTATTTATGTTACATGATATTTGTGCAAATGTTTATCAAATCAATATTGTTTTGGAAAAAATGCAGTTAGTGAATTTTTTTGTACACAAACACAAAAAAAAACACCTATTTTTCCGTAAAATACAAAGATAGGTTTGTGTCAACCAAAGATTTGTCAAGACCTGATATTGTGCATGCCCATGTACTGGTGAAAAACTATGGTACCCTAAACTGTCTATAGAGAACACTTTAAAAGCCATAAATTTAGAGTTGACAGTGAAGGATGACCCTAGAATAATCACTCTCGCTCCGAAGTTCGCAGCAATGTATAACGTGTGGTGCAGGCATTGGTTTTTTTGCACGCAGACACACCCAACCCATGGCTGCTTTTGTTTGGGTTTTTTGTTATTTCATTGTTTTAAATTTTTTTTCTCAATTAGGTTTATTGCTAACAAGCCCCCTATGTGATAGCATAATAGAAGTAACAGGTCCTCTTTATAGAGACATCAGGGATCTATCAGATGCATGTATAGTCTCATACAAGTTCTCAGGTAGTGCTAAAGTCACCCAGATCACTTGTTCATGAAAGCCAATTGCCAGCTGAAGAATACCAATACCAAGATCACGGCTGCTGCAACAAAAAAGCATCTCCTTTAATTGTTTTTTTACAAACCAACCACAATATATTTGTTACTCTGGAGGTGTTTTACCATTTGTTTCATTTTGATATAGGGATGTGCAAATCATATGCCTGGGACATGCAGTTCTGGGCACCGGGCAGGTGTTTCTTTTTTAACATTTAGCCCTGCTGCAGGCAAGTAGCAGGGTTTGCTTTCTGCGGTATGATTTTCATGTCCATTTTCAGTGTCCTTTTTCATGTCCGTTTTCAGTGTGATTATCAAAGGTAGTTGTTCAGCAGTTCACGTGTGATTCAAATCTGTCTTCCAGTCATTTCTATGCAAAACCAACTCTGAATCATATCCTATGTAAATTGTTATCTCATAATGCCACTATGCTCTTTGCTGTGCGAGCTTGGAATGTATTGCTCCAAACTCACACAGGCCCTTTTTAAGACCAAATTAAAATCACACCGCATAGATGTGAACATCCTTCATAGAAAACATTTGTAAAGATTCGCATCAGTGTGAACCAGGACTAAGGCTCCATTCACAAGTGGGCATTTTGGTATCACAGTTGGGATCACGATCTCAAAATGCACTACAATCACAAAATGCAGGTTCAGGTGCCATTATTTTTAATGGAACCTAAAACACAGTATGGTGTTGTCGCGATTGTTGTGTGATTTATCGTGTGGCAAATCACATCGCATGAAGCTTGTTACCAAAAAGGAGCAGGAGTTTCTTTTGGTGTGATAAGCTTCACGCGGTGTGATTTGCCGCACAATAAATCAATCAACGATCGCAGCGAAACCACACCACGTTTTAGGTGCCATTGAAAATAATGGCAACAGAACCTGCATTTTGCAATTGTAGTGTGTTTTGAGATTGCAAGCAGAATTGTAGAGACTCTGCCGCATTCCAAAAAACGCCCAGGTGTGAATGGAGCCTCATGGAATGGACACTGGAGCTTGATTTGGCTAGTCAGCATGCGCTTGAACTGAGCACCCAAGTACTTCTGTGTGCTAGGGTAACCCGAAAAGAAATAAAGTTTTGTTTTTTCTTCTCATTGGAGCTGGCGCCTCATTTACTTGCTCAGCAGATGGCGCATTTAAAAAGAGCAAAGCAGAAATTCTGTCACCTTGATCTTCACAGTTTAGTCAGACCTCTGAAAACCATTAAATGAATATCTTACTTTTGTGGCTAGTGGTTAATGCCATAATTACCATCTTCTCTGTTTGCTCCTAAACTCTTAGTTTGCAGATGCCACAAAATATCCTCTATGTATACATGCCTTACCATAGTAAAATATGGAATGACTCACTTCTCGGTAAACTGTAAATCCTGGAAGAAAAAGATGCTTACATTGTGTAACACAAAAGTAGTGGTTGATTTCGCCAGATGCTTCTTATGTTTGTGTTTGAAGGTTTTCTGTAACTCAAGACATGAAATATTTAGTAGCAGTGAATTGAAAACAACCAGACTTGCTTGGTTATTCTTGAATAAAGGACAGGCATTACCTCTCTAAGCCTGCATTGACACTGGTGGGTTTGGCCACAGCATAGGTGTAAGCATGGTTTATTTGTGTTTTTCATGCATTTTTAGCCATGGTCCCATTGGCTTCTATTAGGTTGCGCATTTTTGCTGAGTTTTCTAAAAGTGCTTCAAAAGTCCTGTATGCCACATCTTTGGTGCACTTTCAGAAAATTCCGCAAAAACATGTGAGCTAATAGAAGTCATTGGGATCACGGCTAAAGACTCGTGTAAAATGCACAAAAGCTGCGCATGGACCCGCACAATGGCTGCACGACAGCGCATCTGTGTGTGTAAGTGGCAGTTCACCTAATATCAGGTAATTCTCATACTGTTCAGGAAGTGTGTTTGACTCCAAGCACTTACTGAACACTAACCCTGCACTATTGGGGCAAGACAGTGACAACCAACATGAAGTTCAAGGAACAAGGAATACAAACACTTTAAAGATTTTAAAACTTGTGGCTACCCAAGATGGAAATAAAACCAGACTGATAGACTGAAGGAAAAAGCAAAACACTGAACTCCAGTGATGAGCGAGTGGGACTCGCAAGTGCCCCCATGAGAGCCAGGAGCGCCGGTGGAGGACCCGAGAAGAGGAGGATCGGGGTTGCTCTTTGCAATTCTATTGCACAGAGCAGGTATGTATAAACATGTTTGTTATTTTTTTGTTTTGTTTTTTTTTAATTTTTCCTTTACACCCACTTTAAAGCAGTAGTAAACCACATCAAAAAAAAAAAAGAGAAGTCCCCTGCACATTATGTAAAACTGACCTTAAAACAAGCTGTAGATGCTTCCATCTTTGCCCAGTCTTCCTTCCATGTTCGAGCTGATGCTGACTGGCATGGCACGTGTGACTGGCATGCGCATACAGGAGTCTCGGTACACGGCATAGTGCACTGAATGAACGGTACTTCTGCATGTTTAGGAGATATTAATTTTACCTACAGGTATGCTTTATTATAAGCTTACTTGTAGCTAAAAATTAACAAAGTGGCTATACTACCGCTTTTTTTACCACAAAAAGATGCAATGCATAAACATGGCAATGTGGTCCAATAATGTAAAAATTACATAGACCTATACTTTGAAAAACAAGAGAACGGGCCAAGATTCAGTAGCCTACATACAGCTATATGACAAGGGATATTTTCTAGGGCACTTTTTGGGCACCCAACTCATATGCATAACATTATGGTAATTTTATTATAATGAGTTGATTACCCATAAAGGTTTAAAGCTGCGGAATTTCCTATCATCAGATGACTTCAGTAAGCCACTTGCAGAGATGGTAAAATATTGAAAAAGTAAATTGCAAAGTCACTTGTTTACAATTAAAACAATTAAATATGTTTTGTGTAATCAAATGTGCTGATCTTTTTAAGCAGATAGACATACATTTCACAAGTTTACATTCTCTGACTATCAAAAGGATTTTGTGACATGTTCTATGTTTAGAACATTGTTTCCATGTTTGATATGGTGTCATCTTAAAATAAAGCATTGTAGTGTGATCTTGCTGCCAACAATGTCAGCTCTGATTCTCCACCCACCCTTTCATTACAAAGCCAAGTGATGGTTTGTTCTAGATAACTGGATTTTCATTAAAAGATCTTGAACTTTGTGTTCTTGCTATCTGGATTAACATTCTAACTTTGTTTCCCTTTTTTTATATGCAGATGATTATGCACAGCTATGCAACCTTCGTGTGCCAAGGTTCAGACAGCCTTATGGGGAAGATGCTCTTCACTTTTCAGACCACTATATGCCACAGCCAGACCTTTTCAACTTGCAGGAGCGTAAGTTATGGAGCAGGGGCATGGCCTGTGTGTTTCTGATGGTTCATGTTAGGTGAACATGTTGTAAATGTTTTGATCATTACTTGCTGAACCAGAACAGGCTGGCTTACTTAATAGGACTGTTTTGGTGTGATTTGATACAGCTGCCTGTGACAGGTACAAAGTGGCACAGCTTTAAATCGCACAAGGTTGTTGTCTGTAGGCAACATATTTAGTCAATTCTGCATTGCAGCTTCTCCAGAACTGATGTCACTCTCAGGATCGAGGTATGGACTTGTGGTAGGTGGAAAGCAGGAACTGAAAAGCTGATGTAGAGAAGAAGGAAAGCTGTGGCTAAGTAGATCGAAAAGTAGAGGAAAATTGAGACTATAAAGCAGGTGTGGAGGATGAATACAATGGAAACCAATGAGTAGGCACAGGTAAGAAGGATTGGAGGATAGAAGAGACTGGTAAGCATGTGCAGAGGAAGAAAGTGAAGACCAGAGCAAAGATGCAAAAAAGGAGAGTGAGGACTTAAGAATATCACCAAGAAAAAATGTATGGGAAACAAGTGTTACAGTTGTGCTCAAAAGTTTACATACCCTGGCAGAAATTGTGAAATTTTGGCATTGATATTGAAAATATGACTGATCATGCCAAAAAATGATCATGGCCATTTGGGTGATTTCTGTTATCATTATTATTATTATTATTATTATACAGTATTTATAAAGCGCCAATAGTTCACTCAGCGCTGTACATTACAAAGGGGGACAGAACATGTGACAGAACAATACCAATACAATGCAAAACATGAGGGGATCGAGGGCCCTGCTCTTTCGAGCTTACAATCTAGAAGGGATGGGATAGTGGTACAGGAGGAGATAGCTGTGGGGGATGGAGTGGTAGGAAGAGTGGAGGAGGTCAGCAAGTTAGCAGGGGGTGAGGTAGGCTTCCCTGAAGAGATGGGTTTTCAGGGTGCGCCTAAAGGAGAGGAGAGTAGGTGATAATCTGATGGGTTGGGGCAGGGAGTTCCAGAGGATGGGTGACACCCTGGAGAAGTCCTGGAGGCGGGCATGGGAGGAGGAGACCAGGGAGCTAGAGAGAAGGAGGTCTTGTGAGGAGCGGAGTGTGCGTGCTGGGTGGTACTTGGATATTAGGTCAGTGATGTAGTTCGGGGCAGTATGGTGGACAGCTTTGTACGTCAGTGTTAGGATTTTAAATTTGATCCGTTGCGCAATCGGAAGCCAGTGGAGGGATTGGCAGAGGGGGGTGGAGGAAACGGAGCGTTTGGAAAGGTGAATGAGTCTGGCAGCCGTATTCAGGATCGACTGAAGCGGGGATAGCCAGCGGCGAGGCAGGCCAGTGAGGAGGGAGTAGTTGCAGTAGTCGAGTCGTGATATGATGAGGGAGTGGATGAGCTGTTTAGTGGTTTCTGGGGTTAGGAACGTGCGGATTTTGGCGATGTTGCGGAGGTGGAGTCTGCACGAGTTTGTTAAAGATTGGACTTGGGGCTGGAAGGATAGGTTGGAGTCCAGAATTATGATTTAAAAAGGAGCCAAACAACTATTGATAATAAATGGCTTCATATGACCTTCATCCTTCAATAAAAGAGAATTGGCATGGTCAGTCCTATTTTCAATATCAATGCCAAAATTTCACAATTTCTGCCAGGATATGTAAACTTTTGAGCACAACTGTATATATAATATCGCACCGGGAGAGGTGTCATCCCTAAAGTAACCTTCTGAGGAAAGAAAAGATGTAAGATATGTAACGGGGACTTTAAATATGCCTCAAACGGCGACCAAACGGTGTTGGATAGAAACAATCTTTATTACAACATTTTTGTTTTACAAAGTAAAAATCATTTTAAAAAGGAAGTCATCATAACTTACAATACCAAAGATCATAAACAAATAACTACATCAGTTGCTCCACAAGAGTAAGAGCAATGTGGCATAGGTCAATGCATTTCGTGGAACTGTATGCTTCTTCAGGACATTCGACCCAGGGTAAGAATACACTTGGCTTTCCTTCCATAAGGTACAACAAACAGGGAAACAGCACTTGATAACCCCCCTGGCCCTTGGGGAGAAAAATGCCTATGGCTCCCGCTGCTGTGTCTCAGCCAATGAGGAGAGAAAGATCCAGGAAAGCCGAGGCTCCTGTGCACTGGATTGAGAGGGGGCTTAGGTGAGTATTAGAGGGGCTGTTGGGGGAGCAGCACACAGAAGATTCTTTTACCTTTATGCATAGGAATGCATGAAGGTAAAAAACCTTCAGCCTTTACAACCACTTTACAAATGAACTCAATGGAGAAGAGGCTACAGAAAAGAAAACCAAAGAGCAGTGCAAAATAAGAGACGAACTGGAAAGTGTGGCACAGAGTAGAAGTGAGGACTGGGTACAAAGACGCATAGAAGAAAAGACATAGGAACATCCCGAAACATACACGGCACAGGAGCACAGGTATAGAATAATAAAGTACCTTTACTGTAAATTCTAGGACAAAGCCTAGTTATGCAAAGTGTAGGTATCTATACACACTCTGTACTATAATATAGATTCTTAGCCATACAAAGAGTAGTTTTAGTTCAGGGCTTGAAATTTCCACTCGCCTGCTCGCAAATGGCGAGTGGAAATTATGGTGGAGGCAAGTGTGTCCCCCAGGGCGGTCTTGCTGAGCAGGCTCGGAGCTCAGGCCGGATCTGTCATTGGCATTGGGAGCCCTCAATAGCTGAGCACAGTGAAAGCAAAGCAAGGAGTGTGTGCTGTGCTCTCTGCCTCCCCCTAGAGTGCAGTACCCAGATCTGTGAGTGAACAACGAAGTACTGCAACTTTTTATGGGGGGTGCGGTGGTGGTGTGTGTGTACGTGTGTTTTGTTTGTGTGTGTCTATGCATGTACAATTGTACATGTGTCTGTGTGTATGTACATGCGTGTATCTGTACATGTGTCTGTGTGTGTGTTTGTGTGTATGTACGTACATGTGTATGTATGTACATGTGTCTGTGCGTGTGTATTTCTGTGTATGTACATGTATCTGTGTGTATGCACGTGCCTGTGTGCGTATACATGTGTCTGTATGTGTGTGTGTACATGTGTTGTATGTGTGTGTGTGTGTGTACATGTTTCTGTGTGTGTATGTACATGTTGTGTTGTTGTTTGTGTGTATGTACGTACATGTGTATGTATGTACATGTGTCTGTGCGTGTGTATTTCTGTGTATGTACATGTATCTGTGTGTATGCACGTGCCTGTGTGCGTATACATGTGTCTGTATGTGTGTGTGTACATGTGTCTGTATGTGTGTGTTGTGTGTGTACATGTTTCTGTGTGTGTATGTACATGTCTGTGTGTGTGTTTGTTGTTGGCGAGTAACTCTAAGGCCTGGCTAGTAGCTCAGGACTTGAAATTTAAGCCCTGTTTTAGTTCATATGCAGCAAATTCTCAATGTGGTAGACATTCCTATCTGTATATTAGCCATGAGTGTATTATGTGCAGCACAGATTTGTTCGGATAATAAATAATCCTCTGATGTCTGGAGAGATATGTTGCTAGATCTGGAAGCTCCCCCGAATGTCTTTCTGCAGTATTTTGTAATGAATTGGGCTCAAAATTCTGTGTTACATTGTCTTATTTGTGAACTATTGTTGGTCACTGTGGGCATAGATTACCTTCTGATGTTTAAAAATGGGAATGTAGGATTCTACAGTAGCCCCAGCACACTGAAGTGAGAAGTGGAGTTTAGCTGGAACATATGGAAACTTACTTCTGGCACATGAATGATATGTGTCCACAAGAATGGGCTGTCCTAGGAGGGAATGCAGTGGCTTTGACATGGATGCAATATCCCAGAACAGATAGCTGGTTTGTAGAAGTGTCTGTCATGGGGTTCAGATGCCACTTGCACTTTTTAGCTAAATTTACTGTTGACAGTAGACACCTCCAGCAACTAAACTGGAAGTTGCAGTCTGTCTTTTTACTAGGATATTGTTTCGCATACCTTGCTGATTTTAAGTTTTCAAATCATCTTTTAAAAGGTTACTACCAGGGACGGACTGACAACTCATGGGGCCCCCGGGCAATAGGGGATCATGGGGCCCCTGTGTCCTTGCCCAAACTCAAAAAAGCCTATGAAAAAGGTACCAGGGGCATCTCATGGGGCCCCCTACTGACCAGGGCCCTCGGGCAGTGCCTGAGTTTCCAAATGGTCAGTCCGCCCCTGGTTACAACTTCCCTTAAAACAACCATAGCAGGCACTGAACAGTTAAAGTGGAACCACACTGCCTCTAAGCACCACAAAGATACATTTTTAATATCACTGTGAAAAACAACATCTAGCATTTCTGGCTGTGGTCGTCTTGAGTAAGGGCAGATGATTCATGTAGCATTTACTTCCTGGAATCCACCTGCCCTTAGCTCAGACATGCATGCAGGAGGGTGTGCTTAGCTGAGAATGCCCCTCCTCTTTTGATGACTCCTGAGGTGTATGACATCATTTGCCTAGACATGGAAACCAGGAAGTAGCTTAAGAAATATAAAAACAAATGTTTAAACTATGTAAATATGATATACTTTCCTATCTAGTTACTAATGCTAGCAATTTAAGGATTAGAAATAATCCGTGTTTATTTAGAAAGTGAAGTTCTGCTTTAGATGCATGACAATCCTAGTGAGGGATGGGAGACACAGACAGGCTGAAGTTGTTCTACTGTTATGTGATAAATAGCATCACTGGCATTCTTTTTGGTTTTTGGATGCCCTTGCTTATTGTTTAGGCATAGCAAAGCTAAATTGTTATGAAAGTGCACTTATTTTTTTAAATGTAAAGGGGAAGAGTCTGTTGGTACCATTCAATCCTCCCAAAAAAGACACCCATGTGAAAGGTATTCAAAACTTGATTTTTTTTTAAAAAAACTTTGCTTTTCTGGCACTGCTGGGCACCCTGGCTTCTGATAGGCCAGTGGTGGGCAACCTTTTTTTTCAACTGAGCCAAATCTCGTTAAAACCACGATTGAAATTTATTTTGAGAGCCACATTTTTAAAACTGAAAATACATCCCCCATATAGTAATTATCCCCCATAGTAATTCATCCCCCATATAGTAATTCATCCCCCATTAATCATCCCCCCTATAGTAATTCATCCCCCTATAGTAATTCATCCCCCATATAGTAATTCATCCCCCTATCCATCCCCCATATAGTAATTCATCCCCCCTATAGTAATTCATCCCCCATATAGTAATTCATCCCCCCTATAGTAATTCATCCCCCATATAGTAATTCATCCCCCATAGTAATTCATCCCCCATAGTAATTCATCCCCCATAGTAATTCATCCCCCCTATAGTAATTCATCCCCCCTATAGTAATTCATCCCCCCTATAGTAATTCATCCCCCCTATAGTAATTCATCCCCCATATTATTTCATCCCTCATATAGTAGTAGTAAGTAAGTAGCAAGTAGTAAGCCAAGTCCCCCCTGTGTCAATTCACTTACCTTTGCTCCGCGCGTTCCTCTCGCTGTGTTCCCGCGCCGTTCCGGTCTTCAGGGCGGACTGTGAGAGGAGCCTAGCTCCTCTCACGTTCGTCACGCTGCCCCGCCTACACACATCCTGACAGCCAATCACTGCCTATCAGGATGTGAGTGGCAGAGAGGACTGGCCAATCATTGCATTTGAGCGCGCTGCCCTGGCTGTTTTTTTTTGGATCACGCTGCAGAGTCCCTGCCGCCCGAGAGGAGGGAGGGGAGCGGGCGCCCGGCACACAAGAGCCGCATTAAAGCGTGTAAAGAGCCGCATGTGGCTCGCGAGCTGCGGCTTGCCGACCACTGTGATTAGGCTATTGCGAATGCCACTTAAAAGCTGGGTGGTAAAGGATATGTAAACCCTCACCTTGTAAAACAACCCATTCAGTTTAAAAATAGAAATAAAAGGCAAAAAGACGTATGTATACATATAAAAAAACATTATAAATACGTTTTCACCCTTTTTACCGCTTACCCGCCGCCGCCGTTTAGCAGATATACTTTTACATGGCGGCTCGGGTGCGCAAAATCACTTATATATGCGTGATTTTGCATCTCTAGGTAGGGGGCACACGCGAGACATGTGCACGCTCTACCTGCACTGCCATTCGCAGCCGTGGATGTCAATCACCGGGTCCTGGCCGGTGATTACCAACAATCATTGACGGGGAGGAAGACTGCTTTGTTTACAGTCTTCCTCCCTGTCAGCTCGGGCACACTGCTCGGGATGGCTGTGCACACCCCCGTCCCCTAGTAAAACACTCCCATCACACAGTTAACCCTTTGATTGCCCCTCACATTAACCCTTTCCTGCCCAGTGTCATTAGTACAATGTTAGTGCTGTTTTTTAGCACTCATCACTGTATTGGTGTCACTGGGGATGTCAGTGACACCAAGTTAGTTCCCCCGCGCAGTCCCGCTAAAAGTTGCTGATCGCCGCCATTACGGTAGTAGGAAAAAAAAATCCCAGTATCTATATACCGCCATTTGTAAATTGCTATAACTTTCATGTAAACCAATTAATTTACACGTATAGGGATTTTTGTCAGCAAGGACATGTTTTGCAGAATACATTTTGGCCTAAATTTATGATGAAATTTGATTTTTTAAATTTTTTTACTGGATATGTTTTTAATAGCAAAAAGTCCAGAATATTGTTTTTTCTCAAAATTGTCGGTCTTTTTTTTTGCTTATAGCGCAAAAAATAAAAAACGCACAGACGATCAAATACCAGCAAAAGAAAGCACAATTCATGGGGAAAAAGGGAGTACATTTCATCTGGGTGTGGTGTTGCATGACCGCACAATCGTCAGTTAAATTAACGCAGCACCGTAATGCAAAAAATGGCCTGGTCAGGAAGGGGGGGTAAATCCTTTGGAGGGCAAGTGGTTAAAGTGTGTGTATGTGTATGTGTGTGGGGGGGTCGTGTCAGCAGAAGTCTGATCATTGGAGAACAGGCTGAGTTCAAGCACAGCTAGAGAACTAACCATGCTGTGCTGTCCTGCCTAGTGTGGTCAGTTTTTAATAGGAAAGCAGAGGGGGACTGGCAGGAACACCAGGGGTTTCACACAAAGAAAGCAATAAAGAGAAGAGGATGCTTTTTCATACAAGTACATTCTACAGCAGGCACATATCAGGAATATGTAATGCTGGGTTTGCATATTCTACTCATTGGTTTTTTTGCAGTTTTGCTCCGGCATAGAGGGGAGTTTTTTATTTGTATTTTATAATGTACAGTAGTTTTTCAAGGTTTTTGGTCATACAAATATTACACTGTAACGTGGAGCGACAGCACCAATATAGTTTTGAATTGTGGTAAGAAGCCAAAGTATCTATTGAAAACTCTGCAATGACTTACAAACTCCATTTTACCAGGGTTATTTTACGACTCAAACCCAGAACACGTACAAGGCCATTGTGGTATGATTTAAACATGTAAAAATTGAATTTTCATTTTGCAAAGTCCCAGTTTTAAACATAACTTAGTGAAATGAGGTGAAACAGTGAAAATTCACTTTGCAAAGAATACACAATCATATGAAAGGCTGAGAAGGCAAGGAAAAAAAAATTGTTTGTACATGATTAGATGATTGAAGTCAGCACCACTTCACTTCGTTCGCTAAGTCAAGTGAAATTTCCACTTGCCTAGCATATGATAGTGCAGTATTCTATTTTGCAATCACACAGGTAAGACAATTGAGGCTGCAATGTTTAACTGACAGTTTGGAAGTAATGCACTGAGCATCACTTCCACATAACAGTGTGGCAGACGTTCATTTTTTTGAGATTGTCCCATTGGTGTTTCATCCCTGGAACACAATATTAATCACAATTATGCTGATGCTGCATTTAGTTCTTACATTTTATATACTGTGTATGTGATACAGTTTTAAACTATGTCCAGTATTAGTAAGTGTGTAACAGGGGCGGACTGACAATTCATGGGGCCCGTGGCCAATTGGGGATCATGGGGCCCCTGTGTACTCACCCACAGCTAAAAAAGCCAATTAAAGGTACCGGGGGCATCTCAGGGGCCCCCTACTGACCCCAGGCCCTCGGGCAGTGCCCGAGTGCTCAAATGGTCAGTCCGCCCCTGGTGTGTAACCATTGGTGACATGTCAAATGTGTCATACTATTTATTTTTCTATTAAATATTCTCAGTCCTGAAGTGACCATACTTTGAATATTTAAACATTTGGAACTAAACCAGGTCTAAGACCCACCCCAATTATTATTATTACCAAGCCACATCCATTGAGTGTCCAGAATTCAAACATGTCCAGGCAATGATAGGGAGGTATGGCTGAAAATGTGATTCACTAGATTAAGTCAATGAGCTTTTTGCTGGACACCAGTTGGCTCGGTTCTGCACCTAATATCTCTTCTTTTAACTTTTCTTCCACCTGTTTTGCTTTTGAGTGTAATATATAGAGCTTTGATGATGTTTGATCAAGACTGTGCTATGTCTCAGTGTTTTGCCGGAAGTTTATATACTTTTGATTTGTGATTTATTTTTAAAAGGTGGCACTGACCAGTACTGTATATGATTCCCGTTAATTTCCTGTAATTATAGTTTTTGTTTTCAATTTTCAGGATAAACGGCATCAAACGCAATCATTTTATATACTGAAATACAATCATTGTTTTGATTTTTTTATGTGTTATCTGTGCACTGTATTTGTGGTGGCCTAGTATATATTGTACTTCAATTTATTTTTTAGGCAGCATATAAATACGGTTTATACATCTACAAACTATAGCTGACTGGTAAGCTAAATGATACTATTGAAGATATACTGTGTCTCAATATTCCATTTTAACATGGAGCTGTACTGCCCTCTGGTGGAATGGAATGTAAAATTCATGTGTTTAATATAGAGGATTACTTGTATACAGTTTCTTGACAACAAACTAGCAGTTCTGTTCACATTTTTAATTCAGTTTTTTTGTACTTAACATCGTTGAATCTAAAGCGAGTCTTCTATATGATCTGTGCAGGTCTGGGAGGGGGGCAGTATGAAGAGCTGCAGGCAGAGGAGTGCGGCATCTTGAATGGATGTGAGAATGGTAGATGTGTACGAGTACAAGAAGGATACACATGTGATTGCTTCGATGGATACCACCTGGACATCATGAAAATGACCTGTGTTGGTAAGGAAACATGCACTCTATTATAATGACGTCTAAGCAATATCGCAGGCTCTTAACCAGCAGTAAGTGGTCCCAAGAGGTGTGACTGCTGGGTTCACAGGGTACTTCTGCTTGTCACAGTAAATCTATCATAACAGCACAAAGGTTCAGCAAATTATAAATCACACATTAAACAAACCTGAAGATGTATTTTTATGATTTAATAATGATTTGTTTGGAAAATATTTGGATAAATGAGTTTGTTCTGTCAATGCATGTCCACATGTCTGGGGGTATTTAGTAAGCTCTGTCTTTTGCTAAAGGGCACATACTTTATTAAGGTTTTATATCACTTATTCATCACCTAGGTCATTATTTGTTTAGTGATAGAAATAAAATGAGAAAACACGCTCTCTCATTCTGCTACACATCTTATGTACAGAAGTTATTACTGAAATTCCTTTTTACTATATTTATTTAAAAAAATGCAAATTTCAGCTTGTTTCAACATTTTTAAAGCATGTGTAGAGTCCTTGGGTGGCTTGTGTTCAGAAGCTGGCTGACATACAGTATACAATAAAAAATATCTTGCAGGATGGTCAATGGACCACTCATCAATTGTAATCCTCTAATACCATTTTGGGCTTTATCACTTACATTATAGTAAAGCGGTTATGAGAAGTAACCAGCAACAATAATTAGAATTGTGAGTAGATTAAAGAAAGGGATCACTTAAAGCAGGGGTGTGTCAAACTGGTGGCCAGCTGTTGCAAAACTACAAATCCCATCATGCCTCTGCCTTTGATAGTCATGCTTGTAACTATCAATCTTGCAATGACTCATGAGACTTGTAGTTTGGCAACAGCTGGAGGGCCACTAGTTTGACACCCGTGACTTAAAGGCTCAGTTACTGGCTGTGGTATGGGTCAGTGTGGTGCATGATTTAGCACATCAAAAGGCTCCTTTTTTTGTTTTGTCCAAACTTTACACTTACCAGCCACTTTATTAGGTTCACCTTGCTGGTGGCAAGAAAATATCCCCCACACCATTACACCACCACCAGCAGCCTGAACCATTGATCCATCCTGGATCAATGCTTTCATGTTGTTTACGCCAAATTCTGACCCTACTAAATGCCGTAGCTGAACCAGTCTGCCCACTTTCCTCTGACCTCTGACATCAACAAGGCATTTTTGTCCATACAACTGCTGCTTACTGGATATTTTCTCTTTTTCTGATCATTCTCTGTAAACCCTAGAGATGGTTGTGCATGAAAATCCCAGTAAATCAGCAGTTTTGCAATTTGAAGACCAGCCCGTCTGGTAACAACAACCATGCCACATTCAAAGTCACTTAAATCCCCTTTCTTCCCCATTCTGATGCTTGGTTTGAATGTCAGCAAGTTGTCTTCACCACGTCTACATGCCTAAATGCATTGAGTTGCTGCCATGTGATTGGCTGATTAGCAATTTGTGTTACTAAGCAATTGATCAGGTGTAGCTAATAAAGCAGCCGATGATTGTATGTGAAGTGTACAAAACACACAATTCCATTCATAGTAATGTACAGCAGCGTGATGTGCTGTGGTGCTGTACATTGCAGTGTGATTCAGCATGGTGTGCTGCAATAAAATGCAACATGTCTGCATTTTATTGTTGCACTCTGCAGCTCGGCTTTAGGTTGCGTTGCAGTGTGAATGGGACAATTGTTTCCCGTATATCCTTGTGATGACAGGCATTTTTACAATGTGGTAAAAAAACGTTTGTCATCGCAGGATGTATGAATTCAGCCTGAATATTCATCAGCTCCGTTAATATATCTGATCAATTCAAAATTGTAAATATAAACTCATATCTTTTTTATCTGCTTCCTAAGACATTTTTTGAAAACTCAAAAGGCCCAACCAGCTAGTAGTACCTCTGTTATCTGTGTAGATACAGTATGCATGCTACCAACCCAATGAGGAGCAAGTGCATCATAGATTTCGAGGGGTGCTTTCTTTCCCCTCCAGATTTTTATTCTGATTACCTGTACAACTGACAGTCATTGATATTTATAGAAAAATGTTTGACTGTAGGAATGATTTTAGGACTACAATCTGACAGGTTTCAGGATCAATGTAATAGTTATATGTTATCATAAAAATGCTCTCATAAATTAAAACTAAAAGCCATTTTAAAATGCCTTCCTCTAGAAGTGAGCACAAGGACACCCCTGGGTGAACCTAATAAAGCCATGTAAGAGAGATGTAGTTTATATTAGAAATATACAGTATTTCTAAGAACATACCAGTGTTTTGCAACTACAGGTAATTGATTGTTCCCAGAAGTGGCACCCAATATAAAAAGAACACTTTATAACAGATCCTAACCCAATCCTGGCCTGACGAAAGCAAACAAAAACACAGCCATTTTAGACCCCTGTCACACGGGCGTTCCGTATGTCTGTTTTTCATCTGTCCGTTTACAGATGAAAAATGGAAACCCATGTATATCTATGGACGTAAAAGGATGATCATCTGTTTACATCCATTAAAAACAGTTTTTCTTTATGGAAGAAAACTCTATTTTTCCGCCGTTAAAAAATGGAATGAAAAATGAATGTAGACGGACAAAAACGGATGTAGACAGACAAAAACGGATGTAAATGGACAAAAGAAGGTCTTAAAACGGATGTAAATGGACAAAAATGGATGTAAATGGATGAAAAGTGGATGTAAACTGATGAAAAAAACTGTGAACCGATCCATTTTTCCTTGGGAATGTTCCTAATATGTATGGAAAATACATGACTGAACTGAGGAAAAAAACGGAACGCCCCTGTGAAGGAGGCCTTAGTTTTATTGATGCACAAAAATGTAACTGTCCTAACCCACTATATAAAATTAGATATCTGATATTTATGTGAAGGGCATATATTTGTATTTGAAAAACATGAAGTCTTCAAGTAAAGAAGGAAAAGCCTTTACGTAGCTAATAGCATAACCTGGTATTTTCTCTTTTAGATGTCAATGAGTGCAATGAGCTGAACAGCAGAATGTCACTGTGCAAGAATGCAAAGTGTATTAACACAGAGGGCTCATACAAATGTGTCTGTCTGCCTGGCTACATACCATCAGATAAACCCAACTACTGCACAGCAATAAACTCAGATAGAGACGACAGTGAACTGGAGTAGAACGGACTTTGGCTCCAATTTCTCAGCCCATATACTCTGCACTGTATGAAAGCAAGGAAGATGTGTATGTTACTTGAGATGAAGGTGGAACATAACCTCTAATGACAGTTATGTGGGAAACAACAGTAGTTCTTTTATCTGCAAGCGGAATATAATGTCGGACGTTACTCTGCATCAGATTTACAGACCAAAAGCACACATTTTCTCTAACGGAATAAACCACCCAAGTATATAGTCTGATCTTACATAAACTTATTGGAAAAAATAGCCAAAAGCAATGATGTTACTGAGCTGGTTATTATTATTTTGTACTATTGCTTTATTAACTTGCCATTTTATTAGAGGTGGGAGCATTTTATAACACTTTTTTGACGATGCAGCACATTGGATACTGTATCAGAACTATTGAGATGAGAACTTTTTTTTTTGTTATATTTTGGTGCAAATATCTTGTAGGGCAATTTCCTATGGAATTTTTCACACTGTTATGCTGTTCTTTGGAAATATTGTTCAATGACTTTAAAACCTCTTGTTTGCCCTGTGGAGCAGACATCCTTTTGTTTTTTTTTTATTCTTAACTTTTTGTACATCTTGGCTGGAAAATCATATTGATTTTATTTTTTACTCTGCCTTTTGTCTTATTACTGCACTTAAATTCTTTCAAACTTTTCTTGCCAAGTTTCAAAGCTGCTGGAGAACCATTGCATCCCTTAATGTACATTAAATTGGATACATGTTTCCCTGTCCATAAATGTAATTTGTAAATCGAATATGGAAAAAAAAAAAATCTTGTTTGAGTTTCCTAACATATTAAAGCTGTATATTAAACATCAATAATAAAATAATTATTTTTACATTTTTTCTTTTTTTAAATTGGGACATAACACAACTGTTCTACACTTTACTGATGAGTAGCATAACTGATTATCGTGTGAATTTATGAATAATGTTAAATATTTTCAACAGTGATTTTTGTGAGTAACTTTTTTGTCATGGGAGAATAACACAGATTTTTTTTTTTAAGATTGACCTATCAAATATGCACAGAGAATGAGCTGCAAATGGGATCATTATATAGGTTTTTCCGCCTGCATTTGCTTGATGGGAAATTGGCCTGTTTTCTTGGTTTTAAGATGAAATATTTAATTTTCTTCAATATTAGTCGTACCCATAAACACAAAATGATGGTTGCCCAACCTGGCCATTTTCAGTGTCATGTCTTTAAACACCAGTAGACCCCCTAAGTGGTAGATTGATTAAGCATGAAAACATTGCCTGATTGTTGAGTTGAGTAAGTGGGCCAAAGAACCAATCCAAATAGCAACATAAACAACGGGGACTTTTTTTTATCCTACAATACAATACATTGGGATTTGCCTTCTTTACATTTTTGCTTTTTTCTTCTTCTAGATGGACAACCAAAATCAGCGTATACTTGATCAACTTCTGTCTTTTTTAGCCTTTGTTGTTGTAGAGCACTTAGAAGTTCTGGAACAGCCAACCATATGCCTTGTTTCATTTCACAGCAAATAAAAAAATAAAACCTGTTTAGTCGCTAATGAACATTATCACTCTTATTTTTCTTACTCCAATTTTTACACTTCTTACCTCCATACAGGAGGTCGACAAGTTTACGTTTGATGTAACAACATCACAAGCAGAGATGTAAAGTTGAATCCTAATTATTGCCATTTAGAAGCATGCATCTGCTGTAAAATGTAGAATAGTAGTAATATGAATAATTGATGTGTATATTCAGAGCATCATAAGGAAACTAATAGAAGAGGCCAAGATGTCAGTTCAACAAATACATGACAAATTCCTCCAGGTTAGCCAAAGATCTCTATATATTTGCTGAGGTGATGGAGTCACCGATATACAAACCGTAAGGGGTGCCAAATAATTTTCAAAACCTAGCTCAAACTTAGCACAGCTTCCCGGATCCCTCTGATGGTACATAATAATAATTATGAATATGCTGAATACACACACGGCAATGTGATATTTAAATTACAAAAGAATTCTATTCAAATTAATTAAAAGAAAAACACAGGTATAAAAGCACTTGAACAATGGATCCAAAAGCAAACAACCAAAACCTCTTCTTTCTCCATTAATTATGTCTTTCTCCTACGTATCTTCATGTTTGGGAATTCTGGTGAAAGTATTCTTGTAGACAGGATTCTCTTTGTGTCATATTTAGTATGATTCAATCCAGTACAAATATACTTCCTCATTCAAGACAGTCCATCATTTCAATCAATGTGCAAGGGACTGGATTGATGATCCTGGACATGGGTTACCATTTCATATGTGTGTTGACGGGAAAGTAGCTAACTTCAAAACCTGCAGTTTAAGACACAAAAGAAGGAATGGTAAAAGGTAATTGCTGCCAAACAATCATTATCCACTTGAAGACCAAGCCTTTTTATTTCATGTAAAAAAAATTTTTTTTTTCTAGAAAATTACTAAGAACCCCCAAACATTATATATTTTTTAAAGCAGAGGCCCTAGAGAATAAGATGGTGGATGTTGCAATTTTCTATGTCACAGTATTTGCGCAGCATTTTTTAATTACACTTTTTTGAATTTTCAATGCAGAAAAAATAGGAAATTGTTTAGTAAAATGTAAAAGACAATGTTACACAGAGTAAATAGATACCAAACATGTCATGCCTTAAAATTGCGCACCTCCGCACAACAGCGATAAACAATGTAAATTTCATTATCTATAGGCAATACTTTAAAAGCCCTTACAGGTTACCACTTTAGATTTACACAAGATATCTGGTGTTAGAATTACTGACTTTTGTGGTGATAATTCACAATGGAACAATTGCTGTTTCCACACATGCAAGACCAACGCGTGCGTTCGCTATTTGTGCGTAAGTACGGGGGATGGGGGTGCTTTAAAAAAATGAAAGCGACAGTAGAAAAAATGCTTTTTTTTTTTTATTTAAACACTTTTATTGTTATCAAAGGGAATATAAATATTCCCTGTGATAGAAATTGGCAGTGACAAGTACTCTTTTTGGAGAAATCTGGGGTCTATTACCCAAATCTCTCCTCTGCCCTTGAAATCATCCAATCACACCAAGATCGGTGTAATCAGATGCAATATCATTTTAAAAATGGTGCTGTTTACATCCAAGAAAACTGAAAGTGTTGAATGCTCATCACTTCCAGTTTCCTGTATCATAGAGGCGAGCAGAGCCGATCCATCCTCTGTTTGCCTCTATGATCTGCTGGCAGAGGCACCAACTGATCACTGGGGTCTTCCAGTGGGATAGGAGGGTCCGAGAGCCGTGGAAGACGGGAGGGAGGACGTCCCGTCCCGCTGCTTGTAAAAACGTTCCACTGGGATTGCTAATAAAAGAAAGCCGACCATTGGTTCTAAAAAACTAACTTGGCTCTATTGTTATAATGCAGAGGGCTAATACACACCCCTGCTTTAATCAATGACTCTAAACAATGTCAATACAAGCCCATGAGTAGAGTGATAATACAACCCCAACGCATGTATTACTCCTAGTTCTTGGGATATAATGAAGATTTCCCAAGGGCTGAGTGATTCTCAGTTTGCCCCAGACAAATTTTGTCTGTGGATATCTCATACTACATGCTTAAGGTACTGATAAAGTTCAACAGCTGCTGCATGACCCATAATATACTGTTCTTCAAATAATCCCAAGGTTGACCATAATATTACAGTGATCATACATCACAATATATTTTGGTACCACCTGTCTGTAGCCGCAGCATAATCTCACATCCTTCAGTCCATAATAATGTCAGAACTGTAAAGCTAAAGCCAGGTAAATACATGCAGTTCCATAACAGCGTACCAAATCATCCAAAAGGGCCTGCAGCCTTTTATAATGTTTGTATATGGGCCTGCCATTCAGAAGGGACACTGCAATACTCCTGTTAACAATGTGTTCAAACAGCTTAGCACAACAATGTACTGTATATTATGGGAAGGTATGAAGGTAAATCGATTCGCTATTTCTCTGTGAGCTGGAATATAAATCTTGATGGCTAGGGTCTTCAGCCAATGCTGCAGGCATTGTTTGACTTATACCTTATATGAACTCCCTTATACCTTTTTGTTTTTGGTCTGTTACTAAAGAATTTATGGCATGCACCTGTTACAGTTACCATATGCATGTGATTTTGTGGTAATGTGTATGTTAAAGAAGAGTTTCTAAATTGCAAATGAGTTCAAAATATATGCTTGAGCATTTAACGTGTTAATGAGATATGTGCCATGTAAGAAAATAACAAACATGGTTAAAATAACTCGTGTGGCTTAATGAATGAACCAACTGATGGCTGAATAGAAAGCATGGAGGAAGATCTGTAATGGCAATGATAGTATAGCAACCAAGGAATATTTTCAAGAATAGGGTGTCCCACGTTGGAACATACTTACTTAACCACTTTGCTACCGGGCACTTTTATCCCCTCCCTGCCCAGGCCAATTTTCAGCTTTCAGAGCTGTAGCACTTTGAATAACAACTGTGCTGCCATGCAACACTGTAACCAAACAAAATTTTTATAATTTTTTTTAGACAGATAGAGCTTTCTTTTGGTGGTATTCAATCACCTCTGGGTTTATATTTTTTGCTAAACAAACTAAAAATACCTGACAATTTTGAAAAAAAAAGTTTTTTCTTAGTTTCTGTTATAAAATTTTGTGAATAAGTAATTTTTCTCCCTCACTGATGTGCACTAATGAGACTGCAGTGATGGGCACTGATAGGCTGCACTGATGAGGATGCACTGATGGGCATTGACAGGCATCACTGGTGGGCATCGACAGGCAACACAGATGGGCACTGAAACGCAGCACGCATATATGGCACTGATAGACAGCGCTGACTGGCACTAAAAGGGAGCACTGACTGGCACTGATGAACACTGATAGGTGGCACTGATGAACACTGATAGGTGGCACTGACTGGCAGCACTGATGGGCACTGATAGGTAGCACTGACTGG